CTGTTTGTAATGCCCATAATTTTATAATAGTGACTAACTGAAAGTCACCTAAATGTCTAACAGAAAAAGATTGATTAGATTAATTATGCTATTTATAGAACAGACTACTATGCAGTCATTTAAAGCTTTGGAAGAATACTCACAATATATGAAACAACAAAGCAAACTACAAATTTGTTTAATATAATCCTAGTAGCTTTAAATAAGCTTGGTGTGTGTGTGTGTGTGTATATGTATGTACACATACGTGCAACACACTGTGTAGGAATAGAAGAAAGACCGGAAGTATATGTATCACACTTCAGCAGTATCTCCTAGGAGTGGAATTACAGGTAATACATACTAATTTTAAATTTTAAAAAATCATTTCCAGAATTTTTACTGTGACCAATTATTACATTTTTTATCAGGAAGAAAACAGCAGCTGTTCTTTTTTAAAAGTATATTTAAAAGAATTGAAGAAATAGAATTCTTCTAGCTTGGCTTAAAGAACTGTGTACCTTTTATTTGTTCTAATGTTTTCAATTTTCAGATGGGAAAACTGAGATCCAGAGAAAATTCGTATTCACACAGCTAGTAGAAGCTTTCCTACCTCCCAGCACAGTCCTTTCTGGTTTTCAATGCTACCTTCAGCAATCAGATTTTATTAGGCAGCACAAGTTAACGAAAAGTTTTGTTCACAGCTCGCGCTAACCCAAGATACAAGGTTCCATGTCATTTACTGAATGAAATGGATGCAGCCAACATTGAACTACAAATAAAAAGGTAATTTAAACTTACTTTTTAGGGTTTGAATGGTTTTTCTGGAAAACAAGGATCTAATTTAGGTCTTAAGAATTCGGTAATGAAAATTAAAAAGGAAAAAGTTAGCTAGTTAATGCCAGTGTCTTTTTATCAGCCACTGAATTTTTACAGTCAGAGTATCTTTTACTTTGAAATTTCCCTTACCTTTGAGAGGGGATGAAATAATGACACTTAAATGCCATTGCTTAGTAGAGATTGATGTCTGGGAAAACAGGAGACATCTGGGAGCACGTAGTTGTGCTGCGTGAGTTTCATCCTGGCCTGTCAGGTTATTCCTTCGGCAAAAGAGAGCCTAATATGAAAGTCATCCCATGTGTAAGTAGTTGTGGAGAACTGTCATGTGAGGTGGGCAGCAGGAAGGAAATGTGGGTTCTACAGGCTGTTCAGCATAATGTCAGTCTTGGGCAAACACCTATCATGGGTTATTAAAGGGCTGGTTGTGAGAACTTGATGATCTCAACATTCTCTTTTGAGATCTAACCTTGGACCCAAAAGAACTGGTTCTTTATTTGCTCTCTGGGTTGGTGGGACACTGGATTAGGGATGAATGTACCCATGGTCTCCTTGTGGACCCCAGGGGCTGGTTACATACATTTTTATTATTGATTTGAAGCTGAGGGGGGGAAAAAGCAGGTAGATTGAGTGGCAAATGAAGATCAAAGGAGACCTCAACAAAAATCAAGACACAAAATATATAAAACAGAGTAAAATATCTTAGGTGAGAAAAATAACTAACCTGCATGGGTGTTGTGGACTCGCAGTTGACATTAAAAACCAAAAACCAAAAACAAACGAGAAAAACAACCTATGGGGTTTTAGTTAGCCAGCACTAAGCCTTTTAATAGGGTCATCAGAAAACATGCTGCCTTTGGCCACATGCGCAGAAACGTGTCACAGGTGCCTAAGGTGATGAAAGCCCCGTCCATCTCCATTGGTCAGGCTGCCTACAGTGGCTTTGGAACTTGCTTCACGGCAGCTGGGTGGGTTCAGAGAACACCGCCAGCGCAGAGCTGCTGCTGAGGACACTTGACCTGGAGAGAGTAGACTCGGGAGGTCGTGGGATGGACTTCAAATAGTTGCTGGGAGGGTCTGTGGGGTCCAGTGGAAGTAAGGAGAAAATAGAAGTTTGTAAATCTAGCACTTGGCACAATTACAGGAGCGTGCTTTTAGCATTTTGTTCATAATTATAATCTCAGGATTGGAAGATTTCAAGTGTCAGTATTTGTTCAGAGTAACTTTGCAGTGTGCATTAAAACCATTTTCCTAGGAATTCATGGTGGTGGAGCTGTTAATTGAGAAACCACAGTGAGTCATTTTGGAGCATGGAAGAGAAGGATGTTCATTATAATTACTTAGGGGGAGTGGAGAACTTATTTATATTGTAAATCAAATATTTTGGTTTGAGATGAAAGTGTCTGTTAAAGAAACATTGCATTCATCTGTTTTTTATGCCTCTTTAAAGGGCAGAGTGTGATTCTACAAACAATAATTTTGAGTTGCATCTCCACCTCGGGCCCCATTATCATTTCTTCAATGGGGCCCTGCACCCAGTAGTGTCTCAGACAGAAAGCGTGTGGGATTTGACCTTTGATAAAAGAAAAACGTTAGGAGATCTTCGACAGTCAATATTTCAGGTAATTTGGCCTCATTTCCTCTTAATTTAGACATTATAGTCAATCTTAAACTGGAGTCTCCTTTTCAGAAATCCTATTTAGGACACGTCTATTTATTTTTCAAAGCTGCTTAGGAAAGTCCCACATCTGCCGCTTCTATAGAAGGATGGCCCAAATGTTCCCACCTTACTTGTAAGTCTTACACAGAGGCTTTTCTACACAATCAAGACTCACACTGTCCTGCCAGCATGTTTTCAGGGGAGATTCAAGCCTGGTATATTTAGTTTTGGGGCAAGAAATAGTATACGATTGTCCCTTTGGGGAAAAATTAATGAAAGAATTTTTTTAAGAAGTAAAAGGATAAAGAGAATTATGTTGTGTAAAACCAAGAGCTGCTAAACAAACAAAAGCAGCTAACTCTTCTGCCTCTCAGTACAGAACAGCATTTATTAGTAAGATGCCCAGGTGAAGGAAAATGTCTGCTGGTCTGTAGTGAAAGCAAACATTGCTGTAACCAGTCTCCAAACAATTTATCCAGTTGTGTTTTAATGACAACAGTACTCTATTTTACTTACAGTGCTTTCATATAAATTGTATCATTTGATTCTTTAACCTCATGAGGCCCTGCTAACCCCATTTTAAAGATGAAGAAATTGTGATTTAAAGAGATGTATCTAGTGGCTTGCCCAGGGTCAGACATGTAGTCAGCAGTAGGACTCCAGCCCTGGACCACCTAGTCTTTCTTTGCTTTTAGTGATTCTTCACGCCACACTACTTCCTGATCAAGGAAAAGGAAGATAGAAAATGTAAGCTTTTCTTTTCCTCTAGAAATAAGTGCATTTTCTGAAAAAACTGTGTCAGTTACCAGAATTATTAGCATTCTTTTGATTTTCCTCCTATACTAAGAAAAGCAGGCCAATTTCTTCTTTAGTTGATTTGAATGATAGTTAAATGTTGGATCAGTAATAGGATTTCTAAAATTTTCTAATATTTCTACACTCTTCCATTGAAGGTTTATTTCTGAGCCAGTCCTGGCAGTGCTGATAAAGGTGGACTTGGAGATTTGACCCTGTATGGGGTGACATTTCAAGTAGAAAAGACTTTATTCAACTGCATAAGTTCTAGATTCACTCCAGTCTGCTCTTTTGTGTTTTAAGTGTGATCTCTGTTATCTTAGAATTAAGGCACTGGGGAGAGGCTGTGAGGTTGACACAGTTAAGTAATCATGTGTGAGTATGAGATTTCTTTTCAGGAGAACTCTCTTGTAATACTGTGGAGAGAGACTGAACAGGACTGATCTTTATGGGTGATGTTGTTTTGGGCACAGTCCCCAGAGTCTTGGATCTAGAAATTTAAAAAACAAATCCCTGAGAATCTATTAAGTAAACTAGTAATGCCACTTTTTAAATTTACAGTGGGAGACATTCTGTTCAAGAAGCAAGGATATTTGTGAATGCTAGAGTCAGAGCTCCTTTTCCCTCTGCAGGACTGATTAAAGACATAATTTTTGCTCTTTTGGACAAGAATTCCTGGGCTGGCACGATGATCTGTTTAGCTTGATGAAAGTGGTCTTCCCCTAAATTAAGTAGAGTTGTTCACATGGTTGTTGTGCTCTTTGTGTATGCCGGGATTCTTCAGCCACTAATGGGTATCAGATTAACCATCTTTGGATTTGACTGATTTAACAATGAAAGATGTCTTTCCACATTTTTGGTGCTGGGTGGGGATTGTCGTATTCACTTGCCTGCTCTCTTTGTCAGCTACATAAGTACACTGGCACAGTGCTCTTTTTATTTAACCTGGGAGAGGGATCTGTATGTTACTTTTCATTGTTCTCTTCTTTCATTCAAATTCTGCAGCTGTTAGAATTTTGGGAAGGAGATATGGTTCTTAGTGTTGCAAAGTTTGTACCAGCAGGACTTCACATTTACCAGACACTTGATGGTAAGATAAATATTAAAACAGCAACTTATTTTGTATATTTATATTTTTGTGGGGCTCATCTGTGATTTTCTACTCTTGGCCAGTCTTTCCCCCTACCTGCTACTGTTCTTAGCTATGTAGGTTATCATCACATTGATTTTCAAACAAATAATTTATCCAGTTTATAATGTCTTCAGTAATATGTAACATGTGAAATTTTGCTAACGTGGAAATGTTTTATATTTTCTGAAATTAAGGCCACTTCTCTACCTAAACAAATTTTTTTGAAAGGCTTTGGAAATCTTTTTTATATTACCACAGGTTTTTGAACAAAATGGTTTGAAACCATTTGAATCTTCATTACTATGGCTTGGTTTTTGTTTTTTTTTTTTACCTGACTCTCAGTTTCAGATTTTGTAGCAAAACAAACAAAAGTACTTCAAGAGCTTAAAAGTATTTCCTTTGAATAACAGCAAAGCAATAATAGCAGTAGCAACAGTAACTTTTATCTTGGACTTCATGGCACCAAATGCCAAGATAAGTGTTTTAGGTAAGTTATTTGCTTTTCACAAAATTCTTTTATCCACATTTCATTAATGGGAAAACTGAGGCATAAAGACTTGAAGTCCACAAGGATGTACAGCTGATTAGTGGTGGAGTGAGAACCATGTGACATGTAAGCCTTGGCCCTGATCACAAGGTCAACTACAGATGACCTTTTACATTAGCTCTTCATTCCTGCCATCATGCCCACGAAGCTTATGTAAGCTACATGGGGAAATGCTTACAGG